CGCCGTGGAAGCTCGCCATGCTGCCGTGGGCACCACCAGCGCTGCTTGCCCTGCTTCTGCCCGTGCTCCTGACTCAGGGAGACGGTAAGGTGGTGGGGGAAATGGGAAACACGTAGGACGCGGCTGGCCGCCTCCCGAGGGCCGGTAGGGGATGCCCGATTCCTGCCAGGGATGAGGGAAGGTGGGTTTGGAGTGGGTAAGGCTGCAGGAAGTCAGCCTCTCACTCCGAACGTGCATGCGAGCGTTCTGAGGCGCTGGGGCCCAGCTGGGAGGTCGAGGCTGAGCCCGGTGAGAGCAGGGCTGCTAAGAGGGTGCAGCGCAGCCTGCTGCATGGGACAAGTGTGGACGGGGCAGGAGCGAGGTCTCTGCTCTTTGCCCTGCCCCTAAACTCACCGAGAGAGAGAGCTGCAAGGCCCCTTTGTTCTCCGTGGGGATGCTGTGTTCCAGAGAGGGGAATAATGTGCTCAGGTCACACAGCTCGTTAGCAGCAGCGCCAACTTTGTTGCATGGGCTCTTGAGGTCTCTGTTTCCTAAAGTTTGCTTCTGGGGCTAACCTCCAATAACACCCAACCCCGCTCTGCACTCCCACCCATCCTTTCCTGCCTCCCCAGCAGATGCAGGGTGTTTTCGTCACAAAAGGATCGTGCCCTCTTGCTGCAGACAATACTCATTCATCTTAGACTGTTTTCTTGTCATCCAGAGCTGGGCTGAAGCTGGGGCCAGGGTACGTTAGGGTGGATGAGGGGGTATGGGGGGCGGGCACGATGCTTTTCCTCCCGAGAGCTGGCACTGGGGAAGCTCAGCAGGACGAGCAGGCCTGGTTGCAGGGGATGACTGGTCCGGGCTGCCCAGGCTGGGGAGCCCTCTGCCTCCCAGAAACGGCCTTTGCTCTGACCCGTGGGGCCCAGGCTGGTGCTCTCCAAACTGGCCCGAATCCCAGACGACAGGATCTGGGCTGTTGCCGCTGTAGGGAGACACACAGGGCTCTGGGTTTGAATCGGTGCTATGTTAACGGATGTTATTCCCAAGGCAGCACTCCCGACCTGCTCTCCCGTCTCTCCTCTCTCTGCTCGTCTCTGCCCTGAGGGCAGCGGGGTGTGTACCAGGGACAGGTGGGGAGGGGCAGGCAGGAGGATCTGTAGGATCCACGTGTTGCACAGGTTGCGCACACAGAGCCAGGCCTGCTGAGACCTGCGCTCACGCTGCCAGGCCCCCGAGGCTTTCACCCTGGTCCTCCCTCTCCCACACTGTTTGTCACCTGCAGTTTCTTTGCACCTTTCAGGAAGAGCTTCTACTGTCCCAGAAGGACACCTGGGGCGCACATGACATCCCAGAGGATGGGGCTCGGGCGTAGAAGTGGGGATTGCTCCTCACCCATCCCAGAGGATGGGGCTCGGGCCTAGAAGTGGGGATTGCTCCTCACCCTTTGGTCCTCCCAGGCCTCCTGCTCTGGGAAAAATGTGTGCTGCTCGCTCCCTCCACACCTCACCCAACCCTCTTCCCAACCCTAACAAACTGCCCGCATAGCCCCTGTGAGGACCCGGCAACCTCCCTCAGGAGTTGGTGCGCCCGGGCAGGTGGGGTGGCAGCCTTGGGGTGGGCTTTGCAGGAGGGAGAGGAGATGTCAGTTTTCACTGGTTGCCCCCCTTCTCCTTTTGTCAGTTGCAGGCTGGGGGCCAGGAGATGAGGGGCTGTACGGACACTGACATCTGACCTTGACTGAGGCAAACCCTCACGCAGACCTCTGGGCTGAGGAACTGTGCACTGGGGGCCACTTTTTTGTGCCCCTCTCATCTCCCGGGGCCGGCTCCCCTTCACTTCCCCAGAGCCCCTGGATCAGAGCCCTGCAGGCTGACCTCATCGGAGCCCTCGGCTTCCTTCAGACCTCACCTGCCTTATGTCACCTTCTCTTCCAGTCCGGCTCCCTCTCTCCCGTAAGCGAGTGTGTAGGTTGCCCGTATGAGATGCACCTTTGAGACTGGGGAGGAGTATGCAGACACAATGGACATTTCCGTGGTGGGGCACCTGGAAGTTTTGTGAGGTGGGATTGGTGAGGGCACTTCCCTTTTCATAGCTTCAAACCAGGGCGAGAGGCCCGTGGCTCCGGCTTGATGTCCTCTTGGAACTGTTCTCCTTCCCAGCCAGGCGCAGGGGGGGCCTCCCGGCCCAGAACACCTCCGGGCCCGCTCTGCGGCGGCTGTCAGACCACCTCCTGGCCAACTACAAGAAGGGCGTGCGGCCCGTGCGGGACTGGAGGAGGCCAACCACCGTGTCCATCGACGTCATTGTCTATGCCATCCTCAACGTGGTGAGGGCTCAGCCCCAAGATGCCCCCCACTGAGAGGTGGGAGGCCCTGGGCACATGGTGGACATTCGGGTACCATCGTACCTGTGGCTGGCACCATAGCTAAGACAGGCTGCAGCACCCCCATGTGCAGAGCTGCCCAAACCAGGAAACTGGGGCCACCTTTGCAGCCATCCCTCCCACATTCCTGGATCCTGCGGGCCACTCACCGTATCACGGTGCCATCTCCCCGTGCGAACTGTGTGAGGGTTCAGATTGTCCTATTCATCTCTTTGCCCTGTGTCACACAGGTCCCTGGCACATGGTGGGTGTCACTCAATGGTTGTTGAAGAGTTCATCACAAATCAATTAATTGGTGCCTCCATTAATGACAGTAGTAGGTGGGGTCCACTGCCCAGCGCAGGGGGGTGGACACTGCAGAAATAAGCAGAAGGTGACTGCGGAGATGCCGAAATGGGAGCAGTGTGCTGGGTTAGGGCGGGCGGGACTGACTCCACAGTCTTCGCCACAGTCCATGCGGCTGTTCGGGAAGGGAAATTGGGGATTGGATAGGAGGGAGGGAGAGCGATGAATTTTTCACTCTATGTGACTTTGTACCTCTTAACTTCATTCTAGGATAGGAGAGATATAGATATAGATATAGATATAGATGGGGCCCAGCCATCTCTGTTTTTACAAGTCCTCCAATTGATTCCGTTTCACCCTAACTAACACTTGAGAACCATTGATGAAGAGAAACAAAAAACCCCTTGATTTAACCAAATCTGTTTTCACATCTTACTTTTAGATATAGATATAGATATAGATATATAGATATAGATATACACAATATTGTTAAATATGCTTTGTATTATCTTCTATTATGTTATGTATATCATATTTGTAAAATATAGATAACATAATAGACATATATAATATGCATGACATAATAGAAGAGAGTAGAGGGTATGTATACTTACATGCACATATAATATAAGAGTAAATCACTGCATTTCTTTCTAGATGTTTCCTAGTAAAAGACCAACTTTTCATAGCTGGCCCCTCCTCCTTGCCCCTTTGCTTCACCCCCACTTCCCAAGGAAATGGGGACACAGAGCAGCAGCTCCTTCTGGGGTTCGTGTGTGCAGAGTGGACCCACATACCACAGGGCCACCTGTGCGAGCTCCCTTTCCTTTCCCAGGACGAGAAGAACCAGGTCCTGACCACCTACATCTGGTACCGGCAGGTGAGCAGCCCAGCCCTTCGCCCGCTGCCTCATTTCCTGGCCTGGGACTTACCGCCCCCCTGCCCCCGCC